GAAGATATATAAATACTCTATATATATTATGTATATATGGAGTATATGGGGCTTGCTTATAGTTTGATTTTTTGTGAACTTTTTATGTTGGTTCAATTTGCTTGTTAACTGATTCATGGCATACGTATATATACACACACACTTTTACATATACATTACATACATATGTAAACAAATATCACTCGCAATCTCTCTACTCACATTCGCATCGAATTTGCTGTGATCGATCAGCTGTTGCTGCTGTTGCTGCTGCTGCGTCTGCTGTGCGGTGTCCAGTGCGTTCAGCTCTTGGACCAGTTGCTGTTTGAGTTCGTTGACCTCCTCGCCGCCGCTTGACTGCTCGGCCAAGACCTCCAGCATGAGCTCGTCGACGGGCGCCTGCTGCCAATCGGAGTGCCATATTTCCATGTGCTCGGCGAACTCGTCCAGGGCACAGAGTGGACGCTCCTCGCACAGTTCACACTCGATGCCGTATAGCTCACCGGCGCAGTTCCAGGTGTAGACAGTGCCGCATCGCTGACGCGGCTCCTCAGCTGCAACAGCAACTGATGGAGTCATCGGTTGCTGGCCCCAATTCCTATTGTTATGGCTGTTATCAATGTAGTTCTTATTGTTGTTGTTGTTGTTGTTGTTGTTATCGCTGTTGGCCAACTAAATTTACTGTCACTTTTTAAGCCAGCTTGCGATTCGGCGCACTTGTTGCTTAGCGTTTGCGACTGCGCAGCTTCTTCGCCTCTGACTATGTGAAAAATGACAACAGCCAAAGAGCCAAAGAGCTAAAGAGCTAAGACTCGGGCCAACAAACCCGTTGCGGGCCATCTCGCACATACACACACACACACACACACACACATAGATATACACATACCCACGTAGACAGCGTCGTGCATGCCATTCTTTGTTGCTGGGGCAACAAAATATGTATGCACACGTATATATGTATACACACACACACACACACACACACTCGCATACACATATCTAAAACAAAATAACAAACTTGGCTTTTGGTTTTGGTTCGCTTTGCTTGTTGCCTGCTTTGCTTTGCGTTTTCTCTTTGCAAGTGCCGCTTGTGTGCACGTGTGTGTGTGTGTGTGTAAGTGCGCGCGGGCAACAGGTAAATGTAAGCGGGCAAGCATGCATATGGCTGCCCGACTGCCAAATACCCTATAAATATACAGTTTGATACAAAAGTGTTTTCACATGGGAACAAGTTATAATTTTGTTCTTTAACATTAAAAAAAAAAAAAAACAAAAATTGTGTGAGATTTTAATNTTTTTTTAATTGTAGTATGTTTTTTAAATTAATTAATTAAAATAAAAAAAAAACTATTAAAATAGGCATAAAAAACAATAACTACTGATAACATACGTATGTATGTATGTATGTATATACGTATCTTAAACTAGATTGAAAATTCGATATACATACGTCTCCTAATATTAGCTTCTCTAAACATCATATTACCGATATATGTATATATATATTATTTCAAGTAGCTAAAGGCTTCCAGCTATAGTTTTAAGGCATACAAAAATATTTAAGCATCATATATTATAGCTGAGGCAGACATTTGTTAGTGCAGCATACCCGGCCACACACATGCCTCAAATACCTCCACAGGGTATTTGAGAAAAACGTAAACATGACAACGCAACAGCTGAGTGAGAGGCAGAGTCCAAACAATTGAAGCCACTGTGCGGCTGCGCGCATTGCTCACATGCGTGTAAATGTGTGGGTGTCTATGTGTATGTGTGCACCTTGGGAACCGGAGCAGTTATTTACATTTAAATACATACACATTGTATGTATGTATATTAACTAAACTCATTGTTGCTGGCCAATTGTTTGTTAGCTCTTGGCTGAGCTTCTTGTGTGTTTCATTCTGAAATGTCATCGCAATGAGAGAATGGGGGTGTGTGAGCCAGGGCTGGCAAGCACTGACTGAGCAACACACACACATACATATGTATGTATATTGCGTTGTTATATACATATTTATAAACCAATCTTTAACAGAATAATGTTAATTAACGTTAAGAAAGAACCAGTAACCTGTTTGCATAAAAAAAAAATCAAAAATAAGAAAAAATAACATAATCGAAACCATTTAAAAATGCTTAATCATCGTGCAAAAGGACAGTGTCATGCCCTGGTCTTTGACAATGAGGATACTTCAAATAATAATGGGCACGCGCACGCATACGCACACATGCATTCGATATATGGTTGTGTGTGAGAGTAATAGATATTAACCGGTAGACTTAACGAAACACTTTGGATTCTTGAGCGCTCTCATCTGCTTCCCATGGTCTCACTCTCCGCTTTTGTTCGATGCACGCCGGGCCTGCCAGACCCAACTGCAAGACGTGCATATGTGTTTGTGTAAACTTAACGAAACACGTAACATTCTTGAGCGCTCTCACTCTTTCTCTCTCCCTAACTGTTTATGGTCGACCAGCTACACTCCCAGTTATAGCAATTTGACGTCACGATCGCAACTAGTCAGCGAGCCATGAGAAGGTTGTGCGCTTTATAAGTGATACGAGTTTCCCCGTGCGGAAATTCAGAATTTATTTGCAAATAATAAAACCAGATATCCATACATCTGGGACCCAAATAAGGGCTATATGATTTCGCATTGGCTTCGTCGTGTCACTATAATTATAATTATTATTATTTTGCCACTGGAGACCGGTTCCAGTGAGCTCCAAAAACCAGACCTCGAGACAAATTGCATGAAAATGGAAACTGTGCGCGCGTGCAATGACAATAAAATGCTTTGGGGGCCAAGCAGTACGGAAAAGCTGCAACAGAGCAAAACAAAGGCAAAATAAAAAAAGAGGAAAATAAGCGATGGAAAAATAATGACAAGAAAATGAGCTAATTCAAGTCGAACTCTGCATGCTCTTTGAATATGATTGTATAGTAGTTAAGATGCGCCCAATAAAATGTTCGTGACAATTTAAAAATAATATATTTTTGTTACTGAGTAAAATACAATATATTGAAAATATATCTAATTGGGGTCTTTTTGTATAGCATATAGTTTGGAGTTTATTTTGGGCAGAGTAAATTCATTTATTAAAGCACGTACACTGAGAGAGAAAAATTATTTTAAAAATTTAATGAATATTAATAGAAAAGATTCACAAAACAGTTTGGAGACTTTGTTCGCAATATGTGAAACTTTAAAATCGTTTTACAAATATTTTTAAAATAAAAGTTTTAATTTATTGTAAACAAAAATTCGATAATAAATATAAATTATTCGATCAATAAAAATTTCATTGCTAAGTTCTTTGTTATGAAAACATATATACAATCGAGGTTCGATAATTCCTACCCCGCTAAATCGAATATCGCGATAAATCGAAACTCCAGATAACTTGAATTCCTGTGTAAATCGCAAAAAAACTGATCCGCTTACCATTTCAAATTGTCAGGAATCTACTATATATAGATATTTTTTATATTTTGAATTTCTCTCAGTGTAGCGACTGAAGCGAAGTTTAAGGGAATATTCAGTGTAAGCGCAAGATAAACACGGCCCAAGGGAGCTTTGACTGCAACTTTCGCGCTGTCAACTGATTGTGTGAGTGTGTGTGTATGTCTGTGTGTGTTGTTGTTGTGTGTATGTGCCTGTGTGCATGTGTAAATAAACAAAACGCATGTGGCAAACGTACACACACACATTTACATTAGCCGCTGGCCATGTTTAAAAGCATGAAACATGGCACTGCAGCTGGCTTTGCCCAGCACACCCATACAGACTCACACACACACATACACACACTAACAATAACAGCACACACACACATCACGCACACTTGCAAATACAACTGGCAGACACGTTGACTTTCCGCCGTAGCCCCAGAAAAAGTTGATCCTTTGTAAAAGCATGTGTCCAAAAAATCCTTTACCTCTGCCGCCTGACTGTGCCCCTGCCTCATCTAACGGTACCCAATAGGTTTACCATGTGACGTCATGTGTCCCCATCAGAAACTGTAATTCCGGCAAATAACACGGAAAATGCAAACAAAAGCCAACAAAATGATGAAGTGCAAGCGAAATATTACCAACAAAAAAAAAAAAAAAAAAAGAGAAAACCAGGAAAAAAGATTTGTTTATATATGTATATCATATAATATATGTGCACACATACACATACAGACATACATATATCACATATGAACAAATTGTTTATGAAGTAAAACCGCAGCGGAAAAATGGAAGAGCAAAATGTCACACTAACAGGAAGAGAACGTATGGGCGTTAGGCGGGGTCAACTGAATTATATTTATACATATATGTATATGTATGTATATATAGAAAGAAGAATATATGTACATTATATATCCTCTGTATTTGCTAACTCTTCACTCTTTAATCATATGTTTTTGTTTTGCTTTCCGTACGAAAATCAGTGTAATTTGCCACACCCTCTTTCTTGTGACTTACGGCTAACTGTATAATTACTCTTTGTTCAATTGACGACGGCAAAAAGTACGAAAAGGGGGACAAAATTAATGGGATCGACAAGCGATTTGATGGAGATGGAGAAAAACAAGTTGATGTTGAGGAAAACAATCCGCATGACGTGTTGAATACCCTTTAAACAAAAGCCAATAGTAAACATACTATGATATCCATTGATATAATAGGAAGAGGTTCAACTTTTTGACTTTTAAGTGAAAATTATAAAGTCCTTATATAAATTAAAAAGTATATTGTATATTCATACATATATCGATACAAGTCAGATCAAACCAAGCACACGCCAAATTTGAACGCTCTAGCTACCATATGGACTGAGTTCCTTGGGTCTCTTACGTAGTATGGATAAGTTGGGCATATAGCGAACCCCGTGTATATGTGAAACTGATCAGTTAAGAGCTGCCTGCCACAGTTGCCAACATTTGCGGAACTTAATGTGTCCATATCTCAAACTTTTTTTGCATGTTCCTTTTTCTGGTTTCTTTTTCTATAGGGTATAAAAAATGGCTTGAACTTTTGCCAAAAAATGAAGAGAAGGAGAGCTTTTTGGCAAATTGTGACGCCTCGTTGTGTATGTGTGTTGTGTGTGTTTTTTTCACTTTTGTATCTTTTGGACAGCAAACCAGGAAGCTGCCAGCAAAAGAACCAATCCTCTCTCCCCAACTCCTCTCTCGTTCCCTTTCCCGCACGCCACTACAATGGCGCTGCTTGCCACAATATATGGCCGCACATTATTCAAAGGACTTGCTTTCTTATTGTTGTTGTTGTTGTTGTTACTGCTGCTGTTGTCGCACATTGCGCTTGGTAAAACAAGCGCGAAAACATAATGAGCATATAAATAGACAAACAATCACCGGCAAACAAGCAGCAGCAGCAACAACAACAACATCAAATAGCAAACAACCGTCCAGACAGCAGCCCACAGCAACAACAGCAGCTTTACCATAGCTACAACAACAATAACAATAACAGCCGCCATTTGCTACGTGCGCCTACTAGTCTCTCTCTCGCTCTCTCACTCTCTCTCGCTCTCTCACTCTCTCTCTCTTTCTCTCTCTCTCTCTCTCTCTCTCACTGACTCCTTTCGTCTCCCTAGCCGACATCAACCAACCAAAAAAACCACACGCTGCAATCATTCAACGATTGCAGCCAATTCACCACAGTTAAGCTCACCACTATCGTGTTGAATAGCCATCGGCTTTTGCCTAGCAGCACGGTTCGTGTCCTATTCAGTTGGCAGGCAGCGCAGCTGCTGAGGACATCATGGCGGTTGGATGTATGCTACAATTTTCTTTCTCAATATTTATAAATT